AGAAACTCCCAACAAACAAACGCCCAAGCCAGGACAGCTTCACAGTGAAGTCTTACTGAACATTCAAAGAAGAAATAACACCCAATCTACTCAAACTAGTCCAAAAAATTCAAGAAAAAGGAAGACTTCCAAACTCGTTTCATGAGGCCAGCATAATTCTATTTCCAAAACCACTTAAAGACACTACAAAAAAAGAAAACTACAGGCCAATATCCCTGATGAACATAGAAGCCAAAATCCTTAACAAAATATTAGCAAATCAGATCCAGCAATACATTAAAAAAAGTATTCACCATGACCAAGTGGGATTCATCTCAGAGATGCAAGGTTGGATATTCGCAAATCAACAAATGTGATGCACCACATAAAGAAAATGAAAGATAAAAACCATACGATCATATCAATAGACACTGAAAAAGCATTTGACAAAATCCAGCACTGATTTTGGATAAAAATGCTCAGCAATGTGGGAATAGAGGGATAATATCTCAGTATAATGAAGGCCATATATAAAAAACCTATAGCCAATATCATACTCAATGGGCAAAAACTAAAAGTATTTCCCTTAAGAACAGGAACAAGACAGGGATGACCACTTTCACCACTCATATTTAACATAGTACTAGAAGTCTTAGCCATTGCAATTAAACATGAAGAAAAAATTTAAAAAAATCCAAGTTGAAAAGGAAGTGAAACTCATTATTTGCAGATGACATGGTATTGTACATAGAAAATCCTAAAGACTCCATAAAAAATCTACTAGATTTAATAAACAAAGTTGGCATAGTAACAGGATACAAAATTAACATCAAGAAATTGACAGCAGTCTTATACAACAATAATGAACTCACAGAAAGAGAAATTAAAAACACAATCCAATTTACCATTATGGCAAATAAATTAAGATACCTGGGAATAAACTTAACCAAAGAAATAAAGGGCCTATTTGCAGAAAACTGCAGGAAGATATTAAAAAAGTGGAAGCATATACCTTGTTCCTGAATTGGAAGAATTAACATCATTAAAATTTCCATATTACCCAAAGCAATCTATAGATTCAATGCAATCCCGATTAAAATACCAATGACATATTTCACAGAAGTAGGACAAATACTTCAAAAGTTTACATGGAACCAAAAAAGACCCCAAAGAGCCACAGCAATCTTGAAAAAGAAAAACAGCCCAGGCCTGTTTGACTCAGTGATTAGAACATCAGCCTGGTGACCAAAGAGTCCCAGGTTTGATTCTGGTCAAGGGCACGTACCTCAGCTGTGGTTTGGTCCCTGGCCCTGTTCGGGGACATGTGGAGGCAACCAACCAATCTGTCTCTCTCACATTGTTGTCTCTCTCTCTCTCTCTTTCTTTCTCTCCCTCCCTCCCACTCTACCTGAAGATATATGGAAAAAATATTCTCCAGTGAGGATTAAAAAGAGAGAGAGAGAAAGAGAGAGAGAGAGAGAGAGAGAGAGAGAAGAACAAAGTAGGAGGGATTACAATACCGGATATCAAGTTATACTACAAAGCTATTGTAATCAAAACAGTCTGGTATTGGCACAAGAACAGGCATATTGATAAATGGAACAGAATAGAGATTGATCTGAGACATTATGCTTAATTAATATTTGACAGAAGTGACACTATCCCAAGATATTATGCTCAATTAATATTTGACAAAGGTGCTAAGGGCATACAATGAAGTAAAGACAGCCTCTTTGATAAATGGTGTTGGGAAAATTGAACAGCTACATGCAAAAAAAATGAAGCTAGACCACCAACTTACATCATACATAAGAATAAACTCAAAATGTATATCCATAAAAATCCTAGAAGAAAATGTAAGCAACAAAATTTCAGACATCATACACAGCAGAATTTTCATGATACAATGCGTAAGGTAAGAGAAGCAAAGGAAAAAATGAACACGTGGTACTACATCAAACTAAAAAGCTTTTGCACAGCAAAAGAAATAAGCATCAAAATGGAAAGGGAACCTACTCTATGGGAGATCATAATTGCCAATGATACAACAGATAAGGGGTTAATTTCCAAAACATATAGAGTACGCATACAACTCAGCAAAAGGAAGACAAAGAACCCAATTTAAAAATGGGCAGAGGACCTAAACAGACAGTCTTCCAAACAGGACATACAAATGGCCAAGAAACATATGATAAAATGCTCAATGTCACTAATCATCAGAGAGATGCAAATTAAAATGACTATGAGATATCACCTCACACCTGCCAGAATGGCTGCCATCAACAAATCATCAAACAAGTGTTGGCCAAGGTGTGGAGAAAAGGGGACTCTAGTACACTGCTGGTGGGAATGCAGACTGGTGCAGCCACTATGGAAAACAATATGGTGTTACCTCAAAAAATTAAAAATTGAACTGCCATTTGACCCAGTGATCCCACTTTTGGAAATATATCCTAAGAAGCCTGAAACACCAATCAGAAAGAACATATGTATCCCTATGTTCACAGCATAACTATTTACAATTGCTAAGATCTAGAAACAACCCAAGTGTCCATAAATAGATGAGTGAATAAAAAGGCTGTGGTACAGCCTGGCTGGTGTAGCTCAGTGGTTGAGCACTGACCCATGTACCAAGAGGTTGCCAGTTCGATTCCTGGTCAGGGCTCCTGCCCCGGTTGTGGGCCTGATTTCCAGTCAGGGGCATGCAGGAGGTGGCCAATCGATGTTCTCTCTCATCAATGTTTTTCTCCCTCTCCCTTCCTTTCTCTCTAAATTCAATAAAGAAAAAAAAAAAGCTGTGGTACATACACACAATGGAATACTACTATGCAGCTGTAAGAAAGAAAGATCTTGTATCCTTTCAGACAACATGGAGGGACCTGGAGAGTATTACGCTAAGTGAAATAAGCCTATCAGAAAGACAAATACCACATGATCTCACTTATTTGTGGAACATAATTAACAAAATAAGCTGATGAACAAAATAGACCCAGAGCCATAGAAAGGAGTACGGTTCAGACTGACAAACCTCAGAGGAGGGGGGTGGGGGAGGGAGGGATGAGATTAACTAAAGAATTTATATGCATGTATGCGTAACCAATGGACCTAGACAACAATCCTGTTTATGGGGGTGGGGGGGGATCGGGAGGAGCGTGTCTAGGGGGGAAAAAGGAGAAACATCTGTAACAAAAATAATTTAATTAATAATAATAAAAAAAAAGTAGGCCAGTGCAGGTGTTAGCAATGAGATGGTCCCACTACAGACTCTAGCCATATGCTACTGGTCATTCTGATGATCATAGCACAGGGGTGATAAGATAGCTAAGCTAGTCAGAGCTTGGCTAACATATGATCAATTTATTTTCAATTTTATGTAGTTGGTAATAAGTATATGTGTGCATAATGAATGTTGAAGGATGCCAGAAGTAGAGTAGCTGGTAGCAAATGAAAGTCATAAAGTAATAACATTAAAATATTCAGAACCAATATTCATTTTCCCATGAAGCTCTATTGCTTCTTCACAAGACTTATCCTCACGTGGTGTTATTTAAAGGGCAGTTTCCCCATAATACTTATCTCCAAGTTTCCCGGAGAACTATCCTTTCTATTTGCCATGAAATTTCCACCATCACAGCAATTATTTTGGGTTAGGTAAGAAAGATGGTGCTGTGGACATGGGAAGAGAATGGGCCTATCCAATTAATGAAGTGGTATGAATTAATTTATCAGATTAGCTAATTAATACTGTAGAAGAACTGACCACTGGAATGGAGATAATACTAGATACTGAAAACAAATGTCCATTTTACAGTTTATAGTTTAAAGTTATTCACGGTGAGAAGAATCGCGATGTCCATAGCAACATTTAAAATGCTGGCATCAAATGTACTATTTTATGCATAAAGGAGTTTGGTGTAGTTAATATTTGGTATGACTGATAGTTTCATCACACTCAGAAGCAAGGGTATTATGAAAAAAGGATCTCCCCATGCACTTCGCTACAGAAACTCATTAAAAGTTGCAAAAAAACATAATTACTGCCTGAACAATCTCACCATATTCTCAACTGGCTCTGATGGTAGGAGCTATGGATTTAATCTACATCCCACTGTCCAAAGGGGTTTTCTCAATCAGTTATAATTATTAAAACAAAATTTTGTAAGCATACACAAGTTTTTCTAATTATTTCTATAATTTCTGCACAGAAATTATTTGTATAATTTTACTAAACCATAACTTGACTGTAATCTGTTTTAAATACTTATTTTTTCTAGAAAATATTAATGTCTATCACTTAAGAATAAAGTTCAAGAAAATTTACAAATAAATTCATTTCATATGGGGAAGAATAGAGTTCTCATAATATTTACGCATAAACAAATGTTTCAGAACTATATTCAGTTTGGTTTTTAATGTTTTTAAAAACTTTTTATGAATTTACTAATTTATATATTTGTATTCTAAATAATTGCAAACAACCATCTCCTGTAAGGCAAGTCCCAGAACTAATCCATGATTCATTATCTAAACTTTAATTGGCATAACTCTTGAAATTCTGGGGCCATATGGAAAATAATGAGTCCTACCAGGTCTAAGGTGAAAGACTGGCAGGGGAGCAAAGAAGCCAGAAAACCGTCAGTTCAGGATGCTTAGCAACTGCAACTCCATTTCCTCTGGGAGCTAGAACAATGTGTCCTCAATGTTTTACTGGTTTTGCTATCACAAAACTAAACCACATATTATTTCTCATTCTAGGAGACAACGATTAAAATGAAAAGACAAAAACAAACCCAAAACTGGTTTCTATAATTAAAAATGAAATTGGCTGACTGTTAATAAAAAAAGGCAGCAATTTAGAGTTGCCATAACAACCTGAGGCAACTGTTGACTGACAATGCAATCTGTTGCATTTTTATAAATAGCAGTTGAGTCCCCCTCTTTCATTCCAACCAGTTTTAGTGCTTACTGGAGGTAATAGAAAAACTGTGATTTAAAATGATTTCACTCATCAAGCAGTGTACCTCTTCGCTGCTGTCTTCACCATAAAAATCATCCTCCAATTGGATCACACTGGTATCCTCTTTCAGATCCCAAAAAAATGGGCACCCCTCTGGGGATATATCCTGAGTCTTTCCATGAGGTGCTGATCTTGGTCTTGATGAAAACGTGAAAATGTTCTTTGGAGCCATCTGAGTGTCCTCTGCCTGTCGGTGATGCTCACTCTCCTTGCTGGCTTCCAGCCACAGGTGTGAAGTGTGGCAAGAATCATCATCCAGAAGTAGAGACAGTTTGCTGGACGCCAAATGGGAAATGTGATCATTATTTTCGGGAAATATCCATTCATCTGACATTTGAAAAAGATGACAAAAATTAGAGTAGTGTTCGATAGTGTTATTTTAGGCAGATAGTCAGGTTAAAATGTCCTGTTGTTGAAATAGATTTATTAAATAATGCAAAAGCCAAGGATGGCAATTTACCCACCATCTTGTAATCTGCCAAACATTTAACCCACAGATCAGTGCCTATAGCTACAGGCAACTCACATGTCCTTGCTCACCATCTGAGCTGAAATACTGGCCAAGAAATTTATAAGTCTGAAATAATTATCACCTGTCTTGCAGCAAGTTCTTTATAGCACAGCTTCATTAATTTGACATTCCAGAGGGGGAAAATCTTCCAAACTTAAAAGGGCTGACTTACTAATATCTTCTTTTAACTGCAGGAAGACAGAGTACTTAAGAAGCCTCTTTAAACAAAGTACGTGGGCATTGTCCGGATTATAAATCAGGGAGGAGAGGAAGCCATGAAAAGGTTGACAGCTTTCTCTCTCCATTCTACCGATTGAAACAGGAAAATTCACAGACTAAATTAAGTAGACTTTTCAAGTAATAGTATATCCACAGAAATATTTGTTAATGTGACTGGTGAATTCTGCTGGTGAAAAAGACCTTCATATTTCCTTTTAGGAGAAAATGTTTTGATATGAATTTTTTTTTTTTTTTTGCATAGCATTACTTATATTCTTTAAAAATACTACATACTATCACTGAGATATATTTTTATTTAAACTATAAAAATTATAATGTTTTACTCAACACTGATATAGATTTTATAACTACAATCCAGGTAAACTGGAAATGACAAATGTATAGAATGAACATCATCAGAAGCTGGTTTACTTTCCTTAGAATGCCAACAGAAAAGAATTGAGCATTTTCTCTAACTTACTCTATTTTTGCTGCATTATGTCAATGGTGAAAATCTTACTAAAATCTGTGTTCTGCAGAACCACAGTGTGAACATAGTTATTTTACCCCTGACTCTTAAATCCTATCATATATATCATCACAAGAAAAGTATCCAAGACATATCTAAGATGTGCTAACTTGAAACTTTAAAGGCTATACTACAAAAGCAAAAGAAACAAACAAAAAAACCTTTAATAATAAAATAACATTTATAGCACAAATAAAACTGTATTCATCACAATTATATTCATCTGTTTCTTAATCTAAGACTATCATTATTTAGCGGAACTTGCCTATAAAAAGGGCAATAAATGTACATTTTTTAGAGAAACTCTATTAGGGACAAGGCTTTCATATTCTCAAGGACAGAGTCTAGGTAAATGGTGAAAGGCAAGCTGAATGCCTCATCTGACCACCTTCATGGGGATGTGGAGGGACCTGAGTCTGTAGCTGTGGGCAGATGAAATGAATAGATTCATTGGGCTGTCCTCTTTTGGACAGCAAATCCCTTTGCCTGGTGCTAAGCACAGAGCAGGTGCTTTGTAAGCATAGTAGGTGCTTTAATAAAGGTTGAAAAAAATGACAAGAAGCAATGTGTTGCATTATGTTTATGGATATGTAAAAAATAGTGGAGGAAAAGATACCAGAATCTTCATTATGCAATTAAACAACTTGTCTGACCTATTGCCAAGCATATTACTAACTGTCAAAAAGCCAAGGTAAAGGAGTGTTTTTACACCAAACAAACTCTAATTATCTCACTACCACATGCTTTCTTTGAATTTGCAGTTTTACCTCAAATATTTCCATATCAATTGTAATGAATAATTTGGTGTGTTTTCTTAGGAAAATATGTAAATTACTGTGTAATCACAATATTGCAGCAAACAAGATAAATGCAAGAATGATCACCTAAACATCTAATTAGTTTTTCTACACAGTCAGATTTATGTTAGAGACACTAATTGTGCCTAACATTTTAATGAAGGTTTCAACATTGCATACATAAGACTGACAAACTACAGACAATTATAATTTATTTTCCTTTTTCCCTTGCTTAACAACAATTTGCAAAAAAACCCAAAACCAAACGAACAATTTGCCTTTGTAAAAGTACTACAACATAGGCAAGATATATTGATGGGCTCAACGCTCTACAATCCAACCATCTCCATTACAGAGGACTGAAGAAATGTAACAATGGATAATCTTTGGGGTGGGTGACAATGTCATGTGAAAACTTCAAAGTTTTAAACTTTCATTCTGAACAGGACAACCAGTGCATTAAAACTTGAAAATAAAAATACTCTTTCTTCCATTCAAGTTTGACATAAAATTGAGGTTAAAAGGAGATTTACAAAAAATGATAGATTTTAGCAAATGACTTTCCAAAATGAGGGGTTTTGAAATATTTAACACATTCATATGTTATTAATATGACAATTATGACATAATAAATATGCAAACCTGCTTGATCTGAAGACAGGGGTGCTGGAGTGCGGATGTTCACTGTCTCTGCTCTTTGTTGGGACACAGTGGTGAGGGTAGCTGCTTTATCTTCATTCTTGTTATTTCCTGAAGAACTGCCTTTATTAGAATAAATATGTTCCATTATATTACTTTTTGCTTTTTATAAAAATTAATTTTTGAAGAATGGTATTAATTTGATATACTTTTCTATATGATTATAGTAAAGCCAGTTAGAGGTGACATATAGACTATATGCAGATTTTTTTTTCAGTAGACTGTATTAAGATGAACTCAGCTGCATTTTTGTAGAGGTTCATAATATAATGTCTGGATATTTGCATGGGGAAATTTTAGATTTAAGTTTTACAATATGTGATCAAAGAAATTCTAAAACCCATATAATTTTTAAAGGATCTTATATTTTTTTCCTTTGGTTTCACATAAAATGGAGTGTTTTCTTTAAATTGCAGTTCTTATTGAACTCCAGTCTTCTAAACCAAGCTCTTTCCTTCAGCACCTTAAGAAAATGGGAAAGGCATTCATTACTGCAGAATTAATATTTCTATCTACTATTTTATAAAAATAACATGAAACCTAGCAAGCTGAATTATGACCTACCCAAGAACTCTACATTTTTGAGAAATTATGCTAACAGATGTGATAAATTATGATACATTCTGGGCTTGATTTAGGATAGACTAACTCATGTGTATACATGCCTCCCATCCATTATTTAAAGGAATAACTATAATAGCCACCTATATTTGTCTAATGCTTTACTGGTTGCAAAGAGTTGACATTTTAACCTACATGATAACAGATGGCAAGAAGTTCAAAGGGGAAGACATCTGATACAAAAACAATCTGAAAAGGGCTCAATATAAAAAAAAAAAGAAACATAAACAAAACATGAAAAATTATGGGTTAAGATAAATTTTAGTAAAGTTTACAGGCAGGAACTTTATCAAATATGGGCTATTTTTAAAAAACAATTTAAACTTATTCGGCCTTTGAGAGTAGAAGTAGAAAGTTCTTTATTTCTGTGGCATTGTCTATTTAATCCAGCAAATCTCTGTTAGGGCTCTAGAGCAATTCTTTTGCAGAAAATTTGATTTCCATAATCCCTGTAGAACAGACATTTATATTTTAAATGAATTGATTCATAATCCTTTGAAATTTACAACCTGCAGAGAGAGATTCCATTGCCCAGAATAATATACAGATATAAGATAGTATTGAATGAGTGCCATACCGCTGGGTGTCTCTGTCCTTTCTCTGCTGGTGCTTTTTAACTGTAATCTTCTCCTGTTATTATTCTTATCTGCTGATGGTTCTTGAGGGGGATGTGGATGCATAATATGCAGATTGGCTGGTACATTTTCGTAACAAAGAACAAAAAGTCGGAACAGAAAGTACTATATGGTTTGAAATAACTCAGTATATATAATTATAGCTATAATGAGAATATTCATGTATCATTTTGACATTATGTAAAGCTGTATCAAAAACTTATTCTTTCACACAAAATAGGTTGTTTATTCTTATTCTAATATTAGGATTATATCAGGCTTTCAAAATTATTAATACATTTTATTCATGTACCTTGTAGAGAGCCTCAAATAACTTGATTAATGTTAGTCATGCAACATGCTATATTAAAAATATAAAAAATGAAATTGACAGCCAGTACTGACAAATTATTGCTTCCTTTGAAAAAGGAAGTGTAGGTAAGTATGATGCAGTGAAAACTTAGAGGGTAGTTTCCAAAAGAACTCTAGAAGACTGATATAAAACTTAAAGAATTCTTAAGTATAATTTACTTCTGTAATAGTAATATTCATATCAGCATTTAATATTTACCAAAGGCTTAATTTCTTGGTACAATATGATGTACTTGACTGATTTTTCTCATTGAAACCTCACAATGACCCTTTGAAGCAGCTGTTATTCGTCACTACTACTAGTGCCAGTAGTAACTTATCTCCATTTTACAGATGAGGAAACTGAGGCTTACTGGGTTTAAGAAACTTGATAAAGTTATCACAGACAGTGGCAGGGCCAGAACTATTGTTATTCATTTTCTTATTCAATTTTATACTCTGTGGGAGATATACTTTGTGAGGGTTGATTTATAAATTAATAAGCTCTATAGTTTGTAATAGAGCTTATTAATTTATAAATCAACCCTCACAAAAGTCAGACTGGTAAGAGAGGAAAAACTGACAGGAAGTGGGTTCTGCTCTCAATTCTTTCCAATGATTATAGGTTGCAGATAACTTCACTTCTCTGTTAACCCAGAACTCTCAGTCTATAAAATGAGATGAAGTTTTTTCTTTACCAACAGGGTTGCTTTAGTGTCAATAAGAGAAGATAAAGAACACTTTACAAATGCAAAAGATTAATTAAAAGATAAAATTAAGTTAAAAAAATTTAAATGCACATAAAGTTCCCAAAATGCAGTGATAAAAGGATGTTATATTATTTTGTTAGCAGTCATGATAAAGTAAAGACACACGGTACCACAGGAATTAGAAATAAGGAAATAAATAGAATGATAGATTTCAGAAGATTATAATATATACAAATAAATGAATTCTAAACATATTTCCATATCCATGATACTTTTCATTTTTAAGTGCTAATTGTCTGGACTTAAGATCTAGTCATAAATATAACTTCAGACATGTCTTAACAAGGACATTTCTCACTATTTTCATCTTCATGCATGATTCATTCTTACCACGAATAGGTACAGTCAGCTTTATGTGGCGAATATTTTCTTTGTCTCCTTGCTCCTCAGACTCAGATGTCAACAAGGCTGACGTTTCGGCACTGTTTACACACTTCTCTACTGTGGACAGCTGGCATGCTCGGTTCGTTTTGGACCCAACAGATCTTATTGTCTATAAGGAAAAGGAATTAATCTGCACATTTTAAAATACAGGAACTGCATTTATTTCTAGAATCTACATAGAAGAAATAATATTTAGACAAATAAAGAGAGAAAAAAAACTGGAGAAAATGAGAAGTTTAAAAAGTTGGTAGAGAGGGAAATTATGATAGAAAATTAGAAAGATGGAGAAAAATAATATGAGCTAAAACAGATGACAAATCTCCTAGATACATAAATTAAAATGCGCTTATTTGCAACACTCCATCTTTAGTAGGTAGGAACTGAGTTGAAAATCACTGTGTGTGTCAGAAATTCAGAGGAAATTAAAAATAAAAATATAACATTTGAGAATCTATTGATTGTAACATATCTAGAGATGATCCAACTCCTTGTAGGAGATCACAAAATGTGCTCACCTATATTTACCTTTAAGTTTTGCAAACAAAGAATACTCAAAAATGTTGATTGTATAGATATGACTAAAAAGAAACAGTTTTGAGGTACTTAAAGACCAAATTTCTGTTCAAAATGTATTCACACCTTCTGCTTTTGGCATGTAGTCTCTCAAACCCCTTTTCCCTCCCCTCCACCCCATGCATTGGAAAAAACAAGCTCTTCAAGACTTGCTCCTACCTCACTGGATATCCTCATGTTATTTCTTCTGCCAGAGAGCGGAGGTGGTCCAAGAACTCTGGATCCAAAGGCAATATGACAAACATCTTGATTTTTATTGTTCCGCACATTACCTGTTCCTCTGTTAATGAACTGATCTGTTTTGTCAAAGGAAAGTAGTAATTCATGGGTGTAATGACAACATCATATTGCAGTATTTCTGAAAGTACAGTCCCAAGTATCATATGATCTGAATACCTGTCCCCACCCTGGGTACTTATTAAAAATGCAGATCCTGGGGCCCAATATCAGATCTATCAGAACTGTAGAATTAGAATCTTCGGCGCAGAGGGGTGGGGGGTGGGCAGAAATCTATAATTTTAGCAAGTTTCACTATCATTTAAAAAGCTCACTATCATAGAGGAACTACTATCAGCAATATTTTCCCTCAAAAACATAACAATAAGAAAACTAGTAAAAATACATCTTATTTTCTCTTTAAGGGAATTATTTATTTATTTATCCTCACCCGAGGACATTTTTTCATTTTTTGTTCAGATAGCGCGGGAGGGAGACAGAGGAAGAGAGAGAGAAACATCGACGTGAAAGGGACACATCAAGTGGTTGCCACCCGCACAACCCAACCAGGGCCGGGGACAAACTGCAACCGAGGTACATGCCCTTAGCGGGAACTGAACCTGGGTCTCTTTGGACCACAGGCCGACGCTCTAATCACTGAGCCAAACCGGCCAGGGCTCTTTAAGGGAATAATTTAAATAAAACTATTCATTTTTTTTTTTTTGGTGCGTGCCCCTAGCCAAAACCGAACCCGGGACACTCTGGTCCGCAGGCCGACGCTCCAACCCCCGAGCCAGGCTGGCTCGGACTATTCAGCTCGACAGAACAAATATTTGCTTGAACACTCTCAGGCACTTCCAGAGGCTATCAGTGACACCAAAGAGGTAAGGCACACTACCTGCCCTCAGGGAGTCTGAAGAGGTGGCAGCACAAGTAAGCATAACTAGAACATAAGGCAGACCAGCAGGGAAGATGCACAGGTGACTTCCTGAATGGACAGTGAATGACTGGGGAGAGTTCAAGAGTAACAGATGTAGGTGCCCTAGGCAGGACAGAGTGCCCAAATAAAGGCGTGGAAGAGCAAAAGGGCAGGGTGTGCTTGGGGAATAATGAAATTACCAGTTTAACTGGAACGGCAGTGTAGGGTCACATTGCAAAGAGTCTTAAAGTGCTAAGAGCCTATTCTAAACTTGGTAGGCAACAGGGAATCACTGAAGGTTTGGGGGAGAAAGACACTAACTGGTATCACCTCCAGGTTAGACAGGTGTGCTCACTAAACCCTGCACCTTTTCCTTCAGGGCACACAGCTAAATTGCATTTCTGAGCCTTCCCTGCAGTTCCATGAACCATGTGACTGAGACCTGGTTAATGGAACGTGAGAAGTGTAAAGCACTTCCTGGCCCCCCAAACCTCCTGCATAATCCCCTGTGTTCTCTCTTCCCTCACCTCTTGACAAGCGGCAGACGATTCAGTGAAAGGCTTTGAGGCCCCTGGGAGCCACTAGATGGATGACCCTGTGGAAAGCTGCCTAAGGAACTCTTGACTAGACCAGAACTGTGGGTTCTTTGTGACTGTAGTTAGCACCTCTGACTAATAAAGCAGGTGAGGCTGATGATGGCCCTTAACTCAAAAAACTGCCCACAACCCAGAAAACCTTCTGCTGTGTTCCTTGCAAGACAGGACCAACTTGAATATTATAATGTTGGCCCTGAGTAAGTCCACATTTGTCCTACAGTCCTGGACATGTAAGAGCTACTGGTCAAAAAATAAACACATAAATAAAAAGAGCTTCCTCACATATCCATAAAAATAGAACATTACAACTGCATAAACAATATTTCCAAACAAGCAACCATGATTAGATTTCCCTCATCAGTTCTTTCAGTTCTCTGTGATTATTCTTCTGGATCTTGGATCAGTGAACGGCTTTTAAGAGGCCATCTGCTTTCAGACTTAAGAGTCCTAGAAATCCTGACTCAGTCCACTGGTATGGTGTGAAATTCGTCTAAGCGATGTCAACTTGGAAGTCTGTACCCAAGAGGCTTCACTGAAGTATCTATCAATAGTTCAAAATGTTATGGTTGTAATTAGCTAGTTATTAATAATAGGAAAAGAGCAAAGGGAAGGCCAAACATTGTAAGCATGGCCATCTGGGCAGCTTCACTAGGAAGCTGCAACTTTACACTCCTCAGGGAACCACTGGTTCGTTCCCTGCAGATCACTGGGGGAAGGGGCTGGACAAAGGGGGCATGGGTGCATGTGCAATAAAGGCAGGGTGACATAGGGAAGGTGCCTGTCAGTCTAACCTGGAATAGAAATGACTGGCCAGAGGGGGTGGGGCCACTACAAGCCCATGAAAATTTGGAAATACAAAATCCCCAGACAAAGGAGTTCATTTGCTTGTGGCTCTTGGCTCTGCGGCTCTCTTGCATTTGCCTGTGTTCCCAGAAGCCACATGGCCCATGTCCACGCAGACCCCACACACAATGGACTGACGGACTGCAGCGAGGAACACAAGCTAAGCTAGCCTGATGTTGGATTACACTGTACAGACATGGAATGGAAACTCTGGGCAACAGATTTAATCCTGGCTCTGCTGAAAGCAAAATGGAACTTCTTTCTTGGGATAGAGGGAAATGGGACCTTGGAAACTCAGGGATTTATTTCCACAGAAATAAAGCTTTCTACAATATCTCATCCTACTGTGCAAGTCTCAGAAAATTCCTTTTCTCGTGACGTTGCAAGAAGCCCACTCCCACCAGCAACCAGTGGGGACGAGGAGAGCTCCCCACCAATAACAAAAACACCTGATCCTTCGTCTCTGAGACTGTCCCTGAATGAACAAACTTAGGCCTGTGGCTTACAGCACAGCCTTGGAGCTAGCATGAAAGGAAACAGAAACCATCCGTAGATGACTGCCTTAGTTCAGGCCTCTAACGATACCACAGACTGAGCAGCAAGAGAACAGGGAAAAAAAAAAAAGAGCTACTGGCCACTTTCTGTCTGACCCAGTCCCCTGAAAACACTCCCATAGTTAGCTAGCTGTTCTCATTAGCTTTTGCTGCAATTTTACATGTGGTAGAATTAAAAAACACCTTTCCATGCAATAGCATGAGAAAAGGTATAAAGGTTTGTGAAAACATACCATACTTAGGAGGCTCCAAATATTTAGATCTGAGTGGAGGAAATATGTGTGGGGATATGGGTGCTTTGGGGGTCTGTTTTTGTGCTTGTAATAGATGAAGCTAAAGAGATGGGTAAGGGCTAGATTGCTGAATTGACCTGAGAGATTTTTGCTAGACAGAAGATCTGAGGTGGATGGCTAGGTAAGAAGATAAACTATTCCAGTTTTCTTCAAATTCCTGAAGCCCTATATTAGGTAGAAGATAGATTCCATTTGTCCAAACAGCAGAATGAGAACTAATGAGTAGAATTTAGGCAGTGAATGTTCTGTCACTTTGAAGGCGTTCAAGCAGATGTCTGGAAAGCTATTTTGGATATTGCAAGGCAGATTCAGATACCAGAGGACTCCCTAATTTCTATCTCTAGTCTGTGTTCTCTCTTCTGAGCGCCACTCCTGTATCCAGTGACCTTCTTAACCAGGGCCTCTTTGATGTCTCAAAGACACCTCAAACTGAAAACTTGGTCTAATGAATAGTACCAAAGTTGATCCAGTTTGAAAAGCCAGAATCTATGTGTCATTTTTCAAAAAGATATTTTATTTGATTTTTAGAGAGAGAGGAAGGGAGAGGGAGAGAGAGAAACATCCATGTGAGCAGAACATCACCAGCTGCCTCCTGCACACCTGCTCCGGGGGATTGAGCCCGAAATCCTGGCACGTGCCCTGACCCGAAATCAAACCAGCAATCCCTCGGTGCATGGGATGACACTCTACCCACTGAGCCATACCAGCCAGGGCTCTAGGTATCATTCCTGATACCTCCCTCCATCCTCTCCATAGCCAATCCATGTCTACTTTCCGTCTTCTCCACCAGCAATGCAATCCAAGCAACCATTATCCCTCTCCTGGAAGATTTCAAAGCCTCTCAAGCGGTCTACTATGTCTACTCTGGCCCCCATCCCATGCCTTCTCCAAAATGCAGCCAGAGTGGTCCTGCTTAAACAGAAATCTGATTGGGTCATTCACTTTCCTCACTTAAAAACATTTCAATGTCTTCCCCGCTGCTCTTAGGATTAAAAAAAAGTCCTTAAAATCACCTGCAAAAGTCTGCTTGTTCTGTTTTCAGTTCATATCTTACACCCTCATTTTCTGCTCTCAGCAGACTGGCCTCCTCAGTGCTTCCTGCCAGCAGAGCATTGCACATGCTGGTCCCCATGGCTAGGTGACTCCTTTTTTCCTCTCGGACGTTACATTTCAGCTCATGCATCACTTCCTCAGACAAGTCTTCCTGGGACTTTCTGACAAGGGTAAATACCCCATTACAGGTACTTCCACAAACTTTCCTTCATACCTTGTCAGAGTTGCACTTTTACATGTTTTTATGGGTTTCTCTGATAACATGTGCTTCAGTAGCTATAAACTTAGTGGCCTGCTTTGTCACCCCTAAGTTTCTAGCACCTAACCCTATGCCTGGCAGAGTAAGTACATGATCAATCGTTGCTGAGTAAAATAAATGAATCATTAAATGCAATGGGTCAGAAGAGAAGGTGGGTTAAATGACTAAATATTTCTTTCTTTCTTTTTTAATCCTCACCCGAGGACTTTTTTTTTTTTGCATTTTATCAGATAGAGCGGGAGGGAGAGAGGGAAAGAAAGAGAAACAGCGATGTGAGACACATCGATTGGCTGCCATCCACACAACCCCAACCGGGGCTGGGGACAAACTGCAACCGAGGTACGTACCCTTAGCGGGAACCGAACCTGGGACTCTCTGGTCTGTGGGCTGATGCTCTAACTGCTGAGCTAAACCAGCCAGGGCTAAATGACTAAATATTTCTAACTATGATTAGAATTTCATTTTAAGAAATCTAAGTGAGGGTTTTATGTGTAAATTGAGGAGGAAGACTGAACAGAACTGAACAACTGCCAGGATATGGGGGACGAGAGAGAAGGGTCAAC